AATGTAACCCCCTTTCATATAATTTTTTTTAACCGCATTTACAAAATTCTCGAATTGTCTCAAAGACGACAAAACGTCTAGGATTCCAGACCTCGCGAATGCCAGCCAGTCTCAAAAACAATCGCGACTGGCAGGATAGAAAGGAACCAGTGATCGGGGCTCGCCCGTAACAGTATCACGTGAATTTGGTTTCAAAAATACAACTCTATTATAGTAAATGTTTTATCAGTTTTCTGAGAAATACCGAGAGAAAAAAAAAGTAGGCATAAGGCAAATAAAAATATATAGTCTTAAAAAATAATAACCCGCATAATTTCTACTAAAATTTTTATTTTTGTCTGTATTATTTTGTAAATTCACTTTGTCTGAGCTCAAGGGGGGGGGGTTAANAACCCTAAAACCCCCCCCCCTTGCGTACGCCCCAGGCTACAACATACACTAAAACTGTTTTTTGATTTGGAGGGTCTTGGGATTAAAGACGATCCAATTTTACAAGAGAATGTTCAGGCCATGAAAATATTTAATGAAACTGTTGAATTCAAAGACGGTCGTTACATAGTACAACTTCCATTTCGAAAAGACTATAATGAACTTGCTGATAATTATTCTTTAGCGAAACAACGTTTCCGAAGCTTATGGAAAAGATTTAAGTATGACCCGGATCTCTATGATAGATACCGTGAAATTATACAGGATTATTCAAGTCAAGGCATTATAGAAATAGTTAAACCTGATAGTATACACGAGGAATGTGAAAGACCTATATTTTATTTACCCCATATGGCCGTTAAAAAAGAAAGTTTAACAACATCGTTAAGAATTGTGTTTGACGTTGCGACGCACGAGGTCAATGAACTCTCTCTCAATGACTGTTTGTGGCCAGGACCCAATTTAAACCCCAATCTTTTGGATGTACTTATTGAATTTAAACTCAACGGAACAGCTTTCTGTTCTGATGTGAAGCAGGCTTTCCTTCAAATAGGTCTTGTTGAGGTACACAAAGACGCATTAAGGTTCTTTTGGAGCAATGATGAACCGAGTGTTTCCGAAGATCACAAAATAATTATCTTCCATTTTAATAGAGTGAACTTTGGAGTCAACTCAAGTCCATTTCTACTCGCTGCTACTATCAGACACCATATCAAAAAATATGAAAATGATCTTCTTGTTATCGTTCAACTTCTAGATAGAAATCTTTATCTAGATGATTTTATTTCCGGTAGCAATGACTTTGATGAAGCATTAGATGCAAAAAGATGCAAATAAAATAATAGAAGCTGCTGGAATGACTTTAAGGAAGTGGATTACTGATGACGCTGATTTGATGGAGCAGTGGACGAATGAGGGACTAGATACTCATCCTGCAAACGCTAGTGTTAGTCTGAGCTCCAATCAGACGAAAGTGTTGGAACTTTTATGGAACACTAGTGAAGATTATTTTTCTGTAGATACCAGAAGTCTCCTAAAATTCATCTCCTCAAGCAAAAGTACAAAACGTTCGATACTCCAGGCTATAGGGAAGATATTTGACCCTTTAGGGTTAATTTCATGTTCACCATCCGAATGAAATGTCTGATCCAAGAACTATAGAGTGAAAAAATTCCTTGGGATGAATCCTTGCCACCGAAAATGGAGAAAGAGTGGATAAAATGGTGTGAAGAGATACCTTTTTTGGAGAATCTTAAGATACCTAGATTGGTTCTTAATTCTCTATCCATGGAGGATATCGTCGAGATTCATAGTTTTTGCGACGCCAGTAAGAACGCATACGGTGCTACAGTATATTTGAAAGTTTACACACCAAATGGTCAGATCGTTAGACTTTTGACTTCTAAAAGCCGAGTAGCTCCTTTGAATAGTGTGACTCTGCCTAGACTGGAATTGCTGGGAGCTCTAGTCGCAGCTCGCTTGACATCCGAAGTGAAAAAGATTGTGAATTTGAAAAGGTCTTCAATTGCTATCATTGGACTGACTCTAAAATTGCACTCTACTGGATAAAGGGAAAGACAACTCGTTGGAAACAATTCGTTGCTAATCGAGTTAAAGAAATAGTCACTTTGGCGGATCCAAACTCCTGGCACCATTGTGCAGGTACAGATAATCCTGCAGATATTCTCTCTCATGGAATTAGTACTGAATTTTTGGCTGATAGTTCCAGCTGGTGAACAGGTGCTGAATTTTTGATGGAATCTGATTTTCAAGAGACTTTTGAACAATCATTTCCTGAGATAGAATCGCTTGCAGAAGGCGAAAAAGAGACAATACTCCGAGAAGCAAAAACTGTTTCCTCAACCGAGAGTACGCAAGAGACTGTTTTGCTAACTGATGATTCACAGACTCTGATTGATAAACTTTTAGAACTCTCAAATAATTATTATAAAATTAATCATATTTTGTGTTATATTTTCAGATTTCTTCATAATTGTAAACATATAATAAGAAAATGGGACCCTTGACAGTTGACGAGGTAAAGTATTTTGAAAGTATCCTGATTAAGCATTCTCAGACGACACTGGTAAATAAGAACAATTTTTCTCGCAATATTTCTAGCTTAAATCCCTTTGTAGATAGGGACGGTTTCATACGAGTAGGTGGAAGGCTAGATAATGCTTCAGTACCCTTTGATCAAAAACATCAGATAATCTTACCGAAAAAGTCCAAATTAAGTAAAATTTACTTCGATAGTTTACACAGGAAATTACTTCATATTGGCCCTCAAGGTTTGTTAAGTGCAGTTAGGTTAACATTTTGGCCTTTAGGAGGTCGTAATCTTGCTCGTCAAACTGTACATCAATGTGTAACATGTTTCAAATCTAAGCCCTTCCTTTCCACTCAAATTATGGGTAATTTACCAAGTGAAAGAGTCAACATGTCACCCCCATTTTCCGTCACAGGTGCGTCCTGTGCGGCCCTTTTGCTGTTAAATATTAATACACTTTATTGTATCACGACCTAGTTCTCTAAAAGTGAAAAAATTTATTAGTGTCCGAGGCAAAAGTCTATGGGTGCAGGAAGTTGCGATTTCTGAAGAGATCTCCTGGCACTATAAACATTGTCAAGCTGAATCAAAGTGAAAAAATTTCATTAGTGTCCAAGGAAAAAGTTCACGAGAGCACGAAGTTACAATCCTTGAAGAAATCTTCTGGCACTGGAAACGATGTCGAGCTGGATCTCACGGGCTAATGTCCAAGCTAATGCTTCGTCTCTTGTAGTCAGATGCAGGCTGCTGAGTACTTTCGGAGGAAGTGGTGAAGCATGTATTTGAGATGCAGCTGGTTTTGGCAACGATGGTGGTTGTGGAGGAATCCGACCAAATGATAAAACTGGAGGAGCATGATAATCCCGTTGAAGGATAGGTGGAGGAACCATGTGAGTGGGATCAGTCATTGTAGCACCTACAGTACGTAGAGCCTCAGCAAATACGATCAGTAAACACTCAACGGGGGCGGTGTGCAAACCTCCTAATGCAGTAACTTTGAAGCCAAGACTTCATCTCAATTCTCAATTGTCCTAGCAGGCTTTCCTAATTGTTGCTTTATTTCTTTTCCGACATCACTAAACNACTTCGCCAAACTCACCCTTTGGCTCACTTTATCGATGTTTTTGGCGCACTTACTATTTTGGGTCTTCTTGCTCTGCATCATCCCTCCCCCGCCACAAACGAGGGACTACCGAGAAATTCATTTACGCACCTGGTGAGGAACCTAGTTCTCTAAAAGTGAAAAAAAATATTAATTAGTGTCCAATGCAAAAGTTCACAAGTTCACGAAGTTACAATCCTTGAAGAAATCTTCTGGCACTGGAAACAATGTCGAGCTGGATGTCACAGGCAAATGTCCACGAGTTCAAGAAATTACAATCCTTGAAGAAATCTTCTGGCACTGGAAACAATGTCAAGCTGGATATGTTCAAGCTAATGCTTCGTCTCTCGTAGTGAGATGTAGGCTGCTGAATACTTTCGGAGGAGGAAGGGGTGAAGCATGTATTTGAGATGCAGCTGTTTTTGGCAACGAAGGTGGTTGTGGAGGAATCCTACCAAATGATAAAACTGGAGGAGCATGAAAATCCCGTTGAAAGATAGGTGGAGGAACCATGTGAGTGGGATCAGTCATTGTAGCACCTACAGTACGTAGAGCCTCAGCAAATACGATCAGTAAACACTCAATGGGGGCGGTGTGCAAACCTCCTAATGCAGTAACTTTGAAGCCAAGACTTCATCTCAATTCTCAATTGTCCTAGCAGGCTTTCCTACTTGTTGCTTTATTTCTTTTCCGAGATCACTAAACTCTAAATGCAAGTAATACTAACAGTTTTATAAGTAAAAATTATCAATTAGTCCAATTGGACNGCTTATAACGGGCAATTTAAATTGGTCTGAATTACAAGAGTTTCCGGGAGATACAGCAGACCTTAATTTTAATACCTCCCTCTGGAGTTTAAATCCCGACAATTTTGAGTATTAGCATTTCTCCTTCCATCTGAATTGTTTACAAAATTTGTTGCATTAGTATAATTTGGTCTTATATATCCAACTCTTTCTCGCGATTTTGATCTGTTCCGTCTTTTATCTCTGTCTTTTTTATAACAATTTGCTTGCATGTGCCCCTGAATCCCGCAATAATAGCACCTAACCGACGATCTTCTCGCAGTATAATTGTTTACTTCGGCCTCATTTGTTCTCTTTTGACTTTTTAATGTGTCTACCTCGACTGATAGTTTGGAAATTTGAGCCGTCAACTCGCCTATTAATTGTTCTTGAAATCTGTTAGTGACCGTGAAATCCGTTAGTGACACGTGCATAATGCAACATAAGTATTTAACAAATTAATTCAAAAAAATTCTAAACCAATGAATAAACTAAATTCTCTAAAACAATTAATAAATAAATGAATTTAAAAGACATTGAGTGAATGAAACTTAAAATTTAGCTAGATTAATTAAGATTAGTAAGATTATTGCGTTGTTCTTTAACCCGCGTGGTAAGGTGTCTCGGCACCATTGATACACTTTATTGTATCACGTTAATAGGAATTACGTTAGTTTTAGTTAAAATTAGAAAACTCATATTTAAAGTTAAATTTTAATTATAGAAATATTCTTGGTTACATAATTACAATTGATTAAGTAATACAAAGGGGAAGAGAATCTAGGAATCACTCACCAGGGTGCGTCATCACAAAACAGGTCACGTCTCCTCAGCTATGCAAATCTTCTACTGATTCCTAAATGGGTGCAACCACTACAGCAAGAGGGAACTTCGCCAAACTCACTCTTTGGCTCACTTTATCGATGTTTTTTGGCGCACTTACTATTTTGAGACTCCTTGCTCTGCATCAATATAAACATCAACGTAAGGGTACTCTCAACAAAGTATATATTTGTATTTTCATTTGTTTTTCCGCAAAAGCCATCCATCTTGAATAGCTGACTGATTTGACTTCCGATTACGTGATTGCCACACTGAAACGATTTACGAGTAGACGCGGAAAACGCTCCAACCGATAATGCCACTAATTTTGTTGGGGCTAATTCTCGTTTAAAAAAGTTCTATGGATTAATTAATTTTCCAGATCAGAGTTTGGCTAATTATTTTACCTCTGAAGGCATAGAATGGAATTTTATTCCACCAAAATCACCCCTTTTGGTGGTCTTTGGGAGGCGGGAGTAAAATCAGTAAAACATCATCTTAAAAGAGCAGTTGGAAAATTTCATTTCACTTACGAAGAGATGGAAACAATAGTTATTCAAATCGAAGGAATTCTTAATAGTCGCCCCCTTTGCCATTTAAGCGGTGATAATGACAGTTTTGATGTTTTAACACCAGGTCATTTCCTAATAGGGAGGCCTATAACATCAATTGTCGAGCCAAATTTAACTGATCTCAATGATAATCGTCTAAGTCGATGGCAGAAAACTACAAAAGTTGTACCACTTGTATGGGAAAGATGGAAGTCAGATTACTTAAATACATTACAAGCTAGATCAAAATGGATGGTAACAAAAAATGATTTAAAGATAGGACATATGGTACTTGTAAAAGAAAATTTCTACCTGGATTTTACGCCGAATAATTTATGTTTATCATGGTTCGGATAATAAAGTACGTGTAGTAAAAATTCGCACAAAATCTGGGGTATTTTAAAGAGCTGATTCTAAAATAGCTATCTTGCCTATCGATACATAAAAAAAAAGACTGTATTTTTCATTATGTTATATATTCTGTTTCCTACATTTTATAATGTTTATGTATTATATATTGTAAAGTT